TTTAACTTTTGCCAGCAACCTTCAACACATGGGTACATGGTGGTTTGCATGTGTAAATTGAAATGTCCACACAGATACATGCATGTGTAAAAATAGCTCAGGACCATCAACATTAATTACACTTCTTCCAGTACCAGTCAGGAAGGGGAACCTATTTTGCAAGAAGGCTACAGATACTTTGTGTTGTCTGTGTTACATGCACAGCTCTTTCAGCTCTGTATTTTGGATGATACTTCAATAAACTGAGCTCACAAATTTGGCTAACAATGCAGGTGGTTGGTGGCTGTGGGTTTTGTGTTAATTTGATGGCCATGCCAACCCTGGATTCAATAATGTGTTGCAATATTTATCTATGAATAAGGATACAAAGGAAAATAAAGGGAGTGAGCCAAATTCAAATTTACAGCTCCACTTACTGAACAATTTATAACACAGCTGGGATCCTGCTGTTTTGTCTGTCATTATGTGCACAACTACAATAATATTTTATCAGAAAAATTCAGCTTTACACTCAATGCCATAAAAAGTCCACTGGCTAATATGACACACATACAGTCTCGCCACCACAGTGGATTGTCCATAAAGAACATTTAAACTTTGCAGAATCATGCTACCATTTCACCATCCATGACCAAGGTAGGAATATGGTCAATGTTTCCAGGAAAGTGACTCAATCCTTTTGTGTAGCAACAAAATAAATGACATTATGTGTACAATAAACACATGTATACAAAATATGGCGCCTTCTGAAATGGATTCTGAACATTATTTAACAGGTGGGAGAAAAAAGCAACATGAAATTCATTACAATAAAGGCTCAAAGGCACAACGTCTTGGCTGAAAAAAGAAGAATTCATAAAGTCCTAAATTTTTGGAAAAAAAAGGAAAAAAAAAGAAAAAAAAGTCAGATATTAAGAGCTTCATAAGGTAAATTACAGCAAAAGAGGATCAAGTTGGTGCTGTGCCTCCCTCATGGACAAGGTAAGGTGCACTGATTTTAGGGCTTTTGTTGCACTGAAAGGGTTATATACAGTAATTTGAAAAGAAAATCAATGATTAAAGCTTTAAACTGATTTGAAAATGAGTGCCTGAGGATTTCAGAACTGCAATACTCTTTACAATTTGAAAGCCAAGAAATCAAAACAGTGAGAAGACAATGAGGGAGTCATAAGTGTTATTCCAAAGCCAGGCTCAATGTCTGAGCTTGTGAGTTTACAGAGAACTAGAGGTCTAGCTGGTGTCTTCATTTTTCCTCCTTTTGTGAAGGGACTATTTTAAAAATCATTCTAGAGAACACAAATGTACATAATGCTGTCAAAGAAAATGAATGCCTTAAAAAGATTCCCCTTGTACATGTGAAGGGTACGAATCCTTCAGCAGTCAAAATTTGGAATGGAAACAATTCCTTAGGACTGATTTCTAAGAATTGGAAGTTATTTAGGGTAGAATTTGTGGGGAAGAAGAACAAACAGATTATGAGTGCAATAAAGCCCTTGCATGCATTGAAATTATTTATTCAACCAGTACTACATAGTAGGGATTAGGTTTTGCTTTAAACTATTGTGTAAGGCCCTGAAGAGCAAAACTAACTAAAGATTCCAGTCTGGATTTCTTCCAGTACAATTACAATAGTCAGGGACCCTTTTCCATGTGTTTTCTGGATACAGTTATGCAGCCTGATTTTTTTCTGTAGGCACAGCTTTAATTTAATTTATAGACTTTCCATGGAACGTCTTCAACATGATGTAGAAATGAAGACACATCTTACTTCCCTAGAGTCCAGATTTCAGTGTTGGTCACACATGTTTGCACTGGAGAAGGAAGTTATTGTTCTTATACCTGTTTATGAAATAGCAGCAGCTTGGCCACAGACATAAAGATTACCTGAGCATGCCCTGGCACACCCAAAAGAGTTCCCAAAATTATCACTGTGCTAACATGGCTTGAAAGGAAACATGGGTGTTTTTATGAGGTGGCCAAGCATCTATGATAAATTAGTGAGCCAATCAAGCAGTCTTTTGTGGCAAACCATGCAAGGAATGGTGTTGCTGTAACAAAACCCAACAAGAACAAAGTTTCCCCTGTGATTTCTGGTTAGCAGTACAAGTGGCACCAGATTCTGTGCCATGGTGTGTTTGCCTTGGCCCAGCAAATTGCCCTTGAAATGAACTCCCTGCTAACAGAGAGCCTGTGCTACAGCAACTGTTCTGCTTGCTGCCCTCTGTGATTAGGGACTGCAGCTAGGACAAATGAGAAATGAAGCCATAAGAAAAGGGAATTAAAACTCTGCTCCAGAGCTACTTTTGAGCAGGCTTAGTTTAGCATTTCTTTCCTCCCATACAGTACATATTCCACAGCAATTTTGAAAACAGTATAATTTAAAAGTTAACATTTGCTTAGCAGGTAGCAGCAGATAAAAGCTCTCATTTGCAGTGAGCAGGCGTATTTGTTATTGCCCCAGTCAATAGCTATTGACCTGGTACACCACTTCTGCTTATTACAACCAAATCCTTTTTCTTTTTTGTTCAATAGCCAATGACACTGTAATGCAAGGCACTGCTTACAAACTGATGCAATATCTATCAGCAAGAGCTAGAAGTTAATGACTAATGGTTACACAGAGGAAAGCATGTGCTAAGAACAGCAGTACACATCTATTAATCAAATGTACTACATCTGATATGCCTTTATAGCTTAGTGGAACTGCACTGCACATCAGATAAATAGTTTCTGTTGTTATTAATCTAGGTCTCAGCACAAAACACCTTTTATTCATGCTATCAGGAAATAAATAATTCGGCTAGACAAAGTTTTGTCTGACTTTTAGAGCACACCTTTCAAGAAATTTGGATTCGGCAGTCCTAGACTCAGTACTTTGGCAAGGCAACTGCTCTCCTCCAAGCTGAAATCGTGTTATTCTCTAAATGCCCCAGGTGGGGCAATGTAAAGGCAAGGCAACACTCTGAAGACAAAAAGGGAAGAGCAGAGTGCATTTGTCCATGGCTCAGCCTGCTTCAGGCCCCCCCTGTGGCAGAGCAGTGCTGCACAGCCCTGTCCTTTACAATTCCTGTAACTTGCACTTTCTGTGCCTGGGGGTGAACTTTGCTTGTAATTCATGTAGCCTATTTTCATTCCATAACTATGGCTGCATAATTGGTTTGTTGTTTTTTTTTTCTTTAATCCTGCCTGACACCAAAGTAAATTCTTTCAAAGTCCCACTACTTGTTTTATATCTGAGATATGTATATTTTTAGACAACAGTGTGACTGTAAGAGTAACAACCCATATTTTTATACTACCTTCAAACAAATATTACAAAACATTAATGAAGTTTGTTGACTCTATGGTGAAAGCAGAACTGCTACTGATAACTTTTTGGCTTACAGTTCTCTATAATCCTTCCTGTAGAACACCTAAAACTCTAATATTGGAGCACTGATTTATCTGTTTTTTCTCTTTTCTGAATGCCACCTTGATTTCTCTCTAGACTGAGGTGAAGAGGTATTACAGAAAGAAAACTGACAAATATAAAGATTAAACAATCATGCCATTGCCAAGGACATTATTATACTGTACTCCCTATGCACCATTTAACTGGATTGGACAATGCTCCTAAACCACAACATTTTGCCTTTTTCAGATGAGACACACCCTACAAGATCCACCATGTGGACCCCAAGCAGACCTGTGGTACTGATTCATAAACCACCCCTGCTGGTGAAGACTGGGGGAATTTAATTGCTGACATGCTCAGTGTGAAGCAAGAGCTAAATTCACTTAAGTTCCTAATACAAGATCTCCAGTGCTGCTCACAGCATTTACTCGTGTTCCTGTTTGTTGTCACAGAGCTGTTACTGACAGGAGAGTACACTGAACTCTGTTTTTCCTGCAATGCAATGGGTTTTGTTAATCTACTAACTAAACATACCTAAAACCCAATAAATTTGCCCTTGCAATACTGTGTGAGGAAAGAAAAAGATCATCTTAACTTAGAACCACAGAGAGACAGTTTTGAACATGGTTAAGTCATTCCACACACCTACTGAAATTCCATTCCAACCACATGAGTTCAGGAGCTAAACTTTCCTTTTTGCTCTTAATTTTCCAAACATACATTTTCATGTTGTAATGAGGTAAAAACAAGAAATATTCATAACATATTTGTTGTGTTTACTGTGATGATAAGAGGACAGTGCATTATACACACAACACTTCCCTTTAAAAGAAAAATGTAAGTTCTGCAAATTAGCAAACAACATGGCTTGGTTGAGACAATGATTGATTTTGAAAAGAATTTACCATGAGCTTTTTAATTCATTACTGAAAAAAGCTGTCACTGAGGAAATTACATGCCTGTTAATTAGACTTCTTACTAGTTAAGTGATAACTAGAGTTTTCAGCCTTTCAGAAAAGTCCATAACACCACTAAACCTGCTGGATTTCAGAGGCAAGGAATCTCTATTGGCAGCTGCAACAATTATAAGGACTAAAGCATTTCAAAGATTATTCTGGAATTTTAGTCAATCTTTGCAGTATACAACAAGCTACAGAGTTTATTTTTATTTCTCCAAAATAGGAAATTCATCTTTTCTAGTACCAAAACCAGTAAATCTCAATCAGATAAATACTGAGCACTTTGCAGAAATAAGATATTTTACAAGATGATTTGACTTCATTGTCAGCTCAGTTACATTTGTGGTTTTCTCCACTGGCCCATAAGCAAACTCTCCATTCTATTTTATAAGAACCTGTAGAGACTTCTCTTGAACGAAGGTAATTGTCATTAAAAAACAATAATGAAACATTTCAAATTGCAAACAGACAGGGTATGCATTTCCTATTATGGTCCCAAACTTTGCAGTATTGACTGTCAATGACTTGGAAGATTTCTGAGAACTGTAACCCATACTGAATGAGGAAAAAATGTTAATTTCAATACTAAATGAGACAGAATGGGAAAGCCAGCATAAAAAAATTAAAGAAAGGTATTAGTGACTTACTTTTTGTAACAACTCCTTCAAGGCGAATGATATTTGGGTGATCAAACTGTCCCATAATACTCGCCTCCCTCAGGAAATCTCTCCTCTGCCTGTCCATATAGCCACCCTTCAGGGTTTTTATGGCAACAGGGATCTCTCTTTTTCCTGGTGTCTTCAGACGTCCACTGCAAACTTCCCCAAACTCCCCTGAAACAGATCAAATATCTGTTAGCAACTCACAAGTGCCTGTACAGAAAAATATTCAAGGAACTCACACATCCCACAGAAGTGGACAGAGAAATAACTGATCGAATATTCAGATTTATGAGCGTCATCACATCCCAGAAAATCAAAATATTCAGCAGCACTTGATAAGAAATGATCACCTTTCCTCTGTGCCACAGCAGAGATCATGTGAGCCTGTAGTGCAAAAGGCAAACCTTCAGCCCTCCCACTGACACTGAACATTGGTATCAACAGGTTTGGGACATACAACTGAGGAAGGAATGTAATGACACTTGGGTTTTTATTCCACTGATGACAAAATATCTATTGATAGAAATATTTATCTCTAGGGGTGAAATGCACTAAGACATATATATTAAGAAAAGCCCTGAGACTATCAAAACACTTGACTATCCTTCAGCTACAGAAAACATCTAAAAAGTACTTTATGCTGTTACAACCTAGAAAAGCACATGCATGTGGTTTATTTAAATGGAATTCCACACCTACTTGAAATTAATTATTTCCCTGTTCAGACAGCCAAAGGCCAACAGTCCCAGCAAAACTGGAGTTGTGCAGTGAGAGGAATCTCAAAACTTGTTTCCTCTGCTGTTTCCCTGTCTGTGTAGGGCCTGTGAAGGACGAGTGTCACCCTGAATTCTCCTTACACATTTAACAACTCAGTTTGTATGGAATCACAGCTCTCCTTTGATCTTGAAGTCACACAGAAGTTATTTAGAGCCCCTACCAAACATACTTTGTCACTGCAGGTCAGTTTTCAATGGGTCATGATTCAATAAATGAAACACAGAAATATTTCAAAGTATATTTCAGTGCAGGTTGCTTTCACAGCAAATCTAAATTTTTTACCCCATTCATTTCGGAATCAGAACTGCTAAAAACAAAAAAGCAAGTAATGAACAGATATATATTTAACTGGGGATTCAACACTCCATTGAGTGCTGTCTGTATTATTTTTCCCTAAACTTTAAGGACAGAAGTAAACAAAATAAAGGAGCTCTATTCTGTAACGGTGCATCTTCAGATATGAAGCAAATCTAGAAGAGAGGTACATTAAAGGCACAACCTTCACCTCAGAAAATTATAACTGCCTGATGTTCCAGGATTAGAATGGATATTATCACAAGACTTTTATTTTATTAGGTTCTTTTGCTTCCACTAAAACAAAGCAAAGTTTTACTATTTTTAGATTCAGGAAGAGTGAGATTAAAATAACAATTTCATAGCTTGTCTTTCACTTCAATGACAGAGGCATCATCAAGTGCAGGAGTACAATTAACACACTGCTGAACATAACCTCTGAATAAAATAGTAGCTTCCTAAATAGCTAAAAAAATCAAGTGGTCCCAGGTCTTCTTTGTACAGTTCCTCCCACCAATTTATTTCTACTTAATTATAAAAAAATAAATTAAAGATGTGTACAAATATAAGATTTGTGAAAATATATGTCATTAGAGTGATGCTCTGGGACTCTTTTGACAAAAGGGGAGGTTGTGTGAGGATTTTCCTATATGATTTTTCCCCTTTCACCTTTAGAAGGCTCTCCTTGAAAGTTTTCTTGCCTGACTACTTGTACTGAAAAAGCAGTAGATAATTTGGACTTGTAAAGTGCTCCCAATAAAAGGAAGTGATGAAACCTGAATGTTTTGCAGGAGACATGGTCTGTCAATCTCCTGTTCTGTGACATGTTCAGCAGGACCAGAACACTCCTCTAAAGCCATGACCTTATTGCATCTTGCTGGTTTTTCAAGCCTAAATGCCTAAAATGAGAATTATTTTCTAATTTCTTTCTCTTGATGAAGCAAAAAACACTAGAGCCTTAATATCCATTGAAAAGGAAAAATACTAGAGCCTTAATATCCAGATTTTTAAAGAAATTCTGTGGCCAATAAATCTTCAGAATTGCAAAATCTCATTTTAAGACTAATTTGGAAAGCATAGGTTACAGAATAAACCATTTAACTACTACAAGATTATACAAGAATATTACAGCTACAGAATTTCATAAATAATGACATTCATCCCTCGGGGACTGTAAAAGGCTGTTACCAAGTGCTTTAAAATGAATTAAACTGAAGGAGGCAGCTGAACAACTTGCAATTCCAAGCTTTATTACCTGTACAACATCCAAAGCAGGGGAAGCAACCTCTGTTTCTTTCACTTTTTTTTTTTTTGGATGCATGATTTGGAAAGTTAGAAAGAAATTTCCCTCCTCTTGGATATTGGGATTGATAAACAGGTGAACATAAAGACTACCAGCAGTTTTTTTTGTGACATGATGTCAAACTTGAGATCATCAGCCACAGAACAGACAGAAACCTAAGGTGTATAATAACTTCTGCTTTAGACTAGATGGAGATCACTGGTAAAATTTAAAGCATTAAATTATTTACAACGAGACTTTGACAAGATTTCATCCCACGGTAGCTTTTCTACACTTCTGTTCAGATAAAGAATTTTCAATGTTTTTCAAGTCAAAAGGGGAATGGGTTCAACCAAAGGGGTTTTTCACATCTAAGAATCTCATTCTCACTGCTCAAGTTTGAAGATAAACAGGATAAATGTTGACCCTGCAGCAGCTGAGGTTCATGACTGCGTGTGTAATAAGTTGAAGCTAAGAGCCAGATGTCAATGAAGTCAACAATTTTCCTTGCTCCAGGGAAAAGGCTGATCACAACTAGAGAAAAAGATAGAGTCCACTGCCTCTTCAGTTTTAATAAAATGTAAATAATCTCTGGTTTAATAACAGAAACTTCACCCACCTTCCTGTATATTATACAAAAAGGAGCTAATTGAGCAGTCTAGGAATTTAATCTGTGCAAACCCCACATCCCTTTCTGCATCCAGCAGGGCATATGTGATACTGAAAGTGAAACAGGAGTATTCACTCACTTAAAATTCTCACGTGCAGCCTGGTGTTACTGCACGGGATCAGAACAAATGTCTGAGCACAGACAGAGGCTGCTGATAGAACTGAAAGGTCACAGCACCAAACACAGCTCAACTCACTCCCCCATTTCAGTCTTTACGCTTGTGGAGAACTTGCAGGAGATTTAGATCATGCAAAGAATATTATATGCTCTGGGAAAAACTGAAGAGTTGGTCTCTTCCTCAAGTTTCAACATTTTAACAAAGAATATAGGAGGATAATTGCAAATTGTAAGACAGATTTGATAAAGTAACTTCGGGGAATTCATTCCTTGAAGAGGGGCTGAACCTTAAACCAAACAGCAAGAAGAGATGGAGCAGGAAAATGTGTATGGGTGAGATATAATTGCCAAATACTTTAAAGTATAACTTGGGTACAGAGTTAGGTTGGAGTTAAGCTGAGAAAAGAAACTAACTAAAAATAATTGCCTTGAATGTCACAGCCATCAGAACTGCAAGTAGTAAATTATCAAGAACTTTTGGACATGACTTTTTCCACTGCAAAAACAAACTGGAAACTGCTTTCTAGTTTGGAGAAGAACAGCTTTAAAAATGTCATGACCAGAAATGCTGGTTTTTTTTGTTTTTTTCAAGTATTTGTGATTTTACTTTGGCAGTTTCAGATTGAAATATTTTGGTTCTTGAAAGAAAGTAATTTTTGTTTAAAAATTTTAAGTTACAGAAATTAAAAATGAGAATTAGTGGCCAAAATAAAATGTTAAAACACAACAAATTTAAAAGTGAATCTGTTAACTGACTTGTTATAAGAGAAGATGCTGATTTTTGGTTTCGCTTAGGTGAAAACTGTGAACATCTTTTAATAGTAATTCTCTTGTGATAAGAAATCCATGTTTTATCCAATTGAAATGTGTAGAACAGAATTAGAGAGAATGCACAGAGATCTTTAGGACTGCTGAGAATTATACTGATATGTTATGTCCCTAAGCAGCTACTGAAGAACTGTGTGGGAATTTGTACTCTCCCTGCCTCAGCCATGGTGCTTAAACTGTATCTTGTATGCATGGAAATGGGTTTAAATTTCATTGCAACCTGTTTGCAAGTCCTGTTAGGTGAATATTGTTGAAGTTGACAAATTACCTACGTAATTCTATAAAATAAAAATCACAAAAATAAAACCCATAAAAGTAAAATATGTCAAAGCACACACTTCCATGCATACAAGAAAGCAGAGAGAGAAGCTGAGAGAAGAGTTTTCATAAATGAAATAAACTGAGATTAAGGACACAATTTTAATCTGAACTAAAACAATTAATCCTTGTCTGTTGTATTCAACTGAAACCAGCAGTTACACAGACGTGGAATGTGGCTCCATCTGCTTTATAATCGAAGACATCAATATCTATAGTGTGTCTGAAGCAATAGAAGAAGGCAAACTGAATGTTCCCTGCAGAGCTCAGCCCTCTGGGGGCTCTCCCAAGCTCGTAATTCCAGAGGGGCACAGCTCCAGCTGCAGGTGATGTGGCCCAAGCAATCAGGTAAACTGGGCCACTCCAGCACTATGGACAGCAATGTGAAACACAATTTTCTCTTTTACTTTCTCTCTCCTACCACACCTGGTTTTATTTCTGTAGGATTATTGCACAACATTGTCTAGTGCATAAAACACTTCTTAGCAACACTGGGGATATTTCCATGGTTATCAGTGCTGTAACATATCATTGAATGAGGGGTTTAAACTGAAAAATACCCTTCCTTTCTAGAGTGACTAAGATATATGAAACAATATTAAAAAAAAAAAGGATTACAGGGCATCATCTTTCATAGTGTCTACATCCTATCAACAGATCTTGCTCTTCTCCCTCTCTGCCAGTGATCCTCCTCCAGACAGAAAAGCCTATCCCAAGCCAGCCTCTCCTTTTCCTCCCTCATACTCCTCCAGTTTTCTATTTGAGAAAAAGTTTTTCTCAGTCTTCTCTATTCAGAACTTATATCCCCATAGAAAGAGATTCTGATCTAATTTCACCCTCAGTGATTGAGAATCCATGACAATAACTACGGCACATGCTGAGTGACACAGTGTTTTGAATACATCTGAAACAAAACAAAGAAATCCCCAACAAACCAGGCAAAAAAAAAATCAATCCTACACAAAAAACTGATAATGAATTAATTTCCTAAAGCTTATGAAAAGCACTATTGCCATGCCTAGAGATGTTTTCACAGTAGGGATAGTTTTACCTGCCCCAATGACTCTCTCAATACGAATTCTTGAAGGATCAATCTCCTTGGCAAACTCATGGACAGCAAGAGATGGATCTTCGTAAGTGTCTGGATCTATGTATGTTTTGAGTCCTGGGAAATGTACTGCAAGAAAGAGAGAACAAGAGGAATCAGGAACTCCTTGACATTCATGCATTGCAACAATAGTTTACTTTACTTTTTTTTGACTAGATAATTGAAAGGACTGACAATAATATCTTCCAGGTTTAAAATTTCAGAAGCCAAAAGAAGAAGCAGGTCACTTGAAAACGGCTCTGCAGAGACACCAAGTGAGGGCTCAATGATATGGGGAAAAGCACGGCCTCAAAACAACAGTGATTATTGCCAAAGCAGTTCATCATCTTCCCCTTTGCTGCTCCTTGGACAATTGAGGCAATCTGTCCTTTGCTTTGAAAACAGTTGTTTCTAGTTCTCCCCTTTCATTTAGGGGTAGATGGCTGAACATCCTGTTTTGCCAAACAGGTTAAATCTTTGAGTTCCTTTTCTCTAAGGATGAGTCCTGGAGGGCTGTGCTGCTTTGTTCTCTTCTGATCAGCTGGAACAGCCAGAGAGCCAGGTGCAAGACGACAACAAAAATATCCAAATCCATTTTCAAGATACTTTCTGTCTGTTTCCTTGGAGATGGCCATGGCAGTGGTGGGTTGGTGCCAGATTGCTTTGGCAGGCTCCAACAAGCTGTCATTTTCTGGCATGGCTGATATCCCTTGTGTTCCTGAGCGTAGCATTTTCAAGAACTTGTGTTGTTTATTCTGGACTATTTGTGTGGGAATTCTTTTAGGCTGCTGCCATATTGTGATTAAGTTCTGGAAAACTCAAGTTGATGCTAATAATCCATCAATTTATAAGGACAAAGGCATCTGCAGCTGGGTCCAGAGAATCCCTTTAAAAAGAATGAAGCATTTCTCAGCATTCTTTCTCCTGTCAGTTAATAGCTGAGCCTAAAACAGTAATTCCTCTTTTTTCTTGGTTCTGTGGAGCACACCTATGAGTAGAGACTTGCCCCCTCCAGTGCAATGCTGAGATCACTACAAATGAATGGGAAGGCTCTGAGATGAAGCTTTGTGTCAACATGAAACACAGTCATCATTTACCCCGGCCTGAAAGACACTGAGTGAGGCTTTTTCCAAATTCAGTCACGGTCTCAGAGGCATATATCAAACTCTCCAGGAGGAGGGTTTTTGTCTTACTTTATTTCTGGCCATGCTTGGAAACAAATGACAAAACCATCTTTCTAGGCAGTATACTTTATGGGCAAATGTGCCCTCTTCCTTGACAGAAAGAGACACTTGGCTCGATATAGTGGTGTCACCTGAAAAAATATTTTACTTCTGGTAACTTCTGTGTTGATCATAGCAATTCCACAGATGTTATCAAAATGATAAAAGAATAAAATCTGATACCCTTTGCGCAATACCCTTTGAAAAAAAAAAAAAACATTTAAATTGTTACTCTAACAGGAAACAGTGAAGCCACTAATTTAAAGTAGGTAGCTAAACTAAGCTATATAAACTAATTATTGCCCATGAGAGAACACCAGGATTTTCTCTCACTGTACTGATCAGTGAGCAGGAACATGAGGGAAGACAACCCATTCCACTTCTTATTTCTTGGGTGGCTGGAAGCGTAGATCCCTAAATCCATAGAGAACTAGAAACAAATAAGTCATAGAGTCACCAGGAGAGGAATTCTGAGGCAGAAATCCAATACCCAGAACAACTGAGAATTCAAAGAAATAAACCTGAAAACCTGCTAAATATTATTAGCTGAATACCAAAAAACCCTTTAATAATACGTTTAATAAGAATAGATTTAGTGAAATTGCAAACAAAAATAAAGACCATTGATGATGCAGACAATAAGGAACTACTCAAATAACCAGATTAAAACACCAAGGGCAAAAGCTGTTCAGGAAACAGTGGGCTTTCTTCATTTAAAACATGATATAGATATTATATAGTGTTGAACTACTTACAGTGTCCATTTTGCAAATGAGCCCTTCTTTTCTCCTCAGATTTCATTTTGGCCTTTATGTACCACTGGCATCTTAAAAAAAAAAAAATAAAAAAAGTGAGGTTTTAAATAAAATACTTGCCATGAATAAAACAGATGTACACCGAGTTTTTATCTGCAATTTTATGAAAGTCAAGTTCCTTACATTTGGAATATATATTTACTTATGAATCTAAAGAGGGAAATATGCACGATGAACTGCAAATAGATTATATACAAAGAAAAACAAATCATGGTTGAATGATTAGCATGACAGTGACTACCTGAATTTAAGTTTGATGTAATACTTTTTTTTAAGTTTGACTCTTCCAAAGAGTTCTGATACTTCAATAAATTATTACTTTCCTGTGTTCCTGTTTGCATACGTAGACTTGTAGTAATTAACCTTATCCCATTAACTTCCATATACAGTGGGCAAAATACCCTCTCATTTTCTTAACAATAGAATTAAAATGACTCCCCCATGTTTCATGAAAAAAGAAAATATTTTTTCACATCAGGACCCCTTTTTTTCTCTTATTGCTGAGTGGCTCTGTGTAGTTTGAGCTGCTGAACACTGCCTACGTGCAGATCTGATAATGCTGATTTAGGAGGTCATAGGCAGGACCAACTGTTTCAGTCAAGAAAAAAAATATTTGCTCTTAGTCTTAAAGCTCTTTCTCACTCACTGAGAAGCCTAAAAATTACTATTTAGAGGGAAATCTTTTGGTTTAAGGGATAGCAAAGGGTTGTTGAGGCTCTGATGCCTGTGGAGAACAGCAGTGCCGGCGGACGTGTGTGAACATTAACAGCATTATAAAATTAAACAAAAATAATTACAGTCAGTAAATCTATTTTAAGAGTGAAGATCTTGGAGGAATAGGTGAACACACCCACCTCATTTCAATGGTTTGTTTAAACTGCTACAACACAGCAGGAACAGTCACAAGTTCATTCACTGCTACACAGGTGATGAGGAGGAATTTAAGGGCAGAAACTCCCAAAGCTGATGTGCCCTTGTGGGGAATGCAAACCAGTGGATTCTCAGACTCTGTGGAAACCTTGAGATTGAACACCAGTTGCTGGGACTCCCTAAGGATGCCAGTGTCATTTTTAGGACCTCAACAAGTGGTCTGTAGGGTGCCACCTGTCCAGAGCCCTAAACACAAGCTCTTACACTCCAAGTGCTTGCCCAAGGGGACAGGCAAAGAAACAAGACTTCAAATTTACCCAATCCTCCTAAAATTCCATGTGGCCCCAAAGTTTGACTACAGAAGCCAGTGATTAATCACCAGTGGAGGAGTCTCCTCATTCTCTGCTCATGCTGGCTGCAGAACAATGGGAGATAAGGCCAAATCAGACTGAGCTTTAACATCCCATGTCCTGAAACTGAGCCAGGACCCCAGTCCTGTGTGTTGAGGCCTCTGTTGCTTCACATATTCCTGTCTGCAATTGACAGCCCTGCTTCCTGATGCTCCTGGTGGATAATGACCCAGCAGAGAGCAGAGGCAGGTGCTCATTTCACCCAGCCTCTCCTCTCTGAATAGGCTCATCAGCAGCCCTGAGACTCGACAGCTCATCAAATTGGTAATTCTAAACAGTGAGCAGAGCACATCTGTAGGGTACCAGTGCCATTTTTCATGCTGAAATTTGCCTCCAGTCCTAGAGTAAATTGAGTATTTATTCCAAATCTCCTTGCTCTGTCTTCTGTGGAACATGCTCTTATCACTGCATTTAAGCAGCACTCCAAAATGAATTCCTATCTTACATAATTGAAATGGTCCCATTGAGTAAGGCAGTAGAAAGCTAAGAGAATCTCTGATATTCTTAACAGTAGAAAACAGGAGGAAGAAACACAAAAAGAAACCCATTTCCACAATTTTTTTTTTCACTCCCAAGTTCAGTGATTTTTTTTCTAAAGGAAGTGTTTGAGCTGTTTCAGGATTTCACATATGGATTCCACACAATAATTTTCTCTGGAAATTTGTCTCTGTCTGAATAATTCCTCTTTCTTCTAAAACATCCTACTCTTTGTCACCTTCTGTAGTAATTGCAGGAATATTTACTCAGCCTCTAAGATTATCTAAGGCCACAATATGTTCCAAGGTTAACTGTTCTCATTACCTTCACCAGAATATTAGATTTAACTGGTTTTATTATTTAGCAAGGAGAGCATTAATTCACATAATGGCAGCTACTGCAATGCCATATTTAGGGTATTGCAAAAAAAACCTCTGGCCTGCACTGATAGAACTTCACTTTTTTTTAAAATTAGAGGTAATGCTATTCCAAAAAAACAGATGTGTAATTACAAATCCAAAAGCGCAGCCCCATCTGTTGATATCTGAGTAGTGCACTCTCTAAAGTTTTGCAATTGACAGTTATGAGATTTTGTAAAATACACTGCAGGGATTTTTTTCTTCTTCTTTTTTTTTTTTTTTTCCTTTTCCACGTAATGTGAGAGCCTTGAGGGCATAGCAGGTATACTGCATTTTTAAATGATCACTCTGAAGGCAAGAGGTCCAGAAACTTATTTCTAAATACCCATACTACTTCTTGATTTCACATAATTTCTTATCTCCCCAAACTGTGTTTATAAAAAACCACACTTACAAAAGAACTGTATGACCAGTGCTGAACAAAGAGGATATTCCACCTTGTCTAACCCTAATTTTAGCTCTGAAAATGTGGTTTAATGACTTGAATATTATTCTTAAATTTTTAATTTTAGATGGGACTATATGAGAACAGTGTTTTCATTACCTGCCAGTGATGAGGAAGAACAAGGTGAGGATGACCAGCAGAGTGAATCCACCCACAGCAGCAGTGGCAATTACAAGAATCTGTCCCTGCTCTGCAGCCATATCAGAAGCTGAAAGAGAAGCACAGAGAAAAGGGGTTGATGCTCCATCCATCACCCAGGGATTTTGGAGAATGGCTGAAATAATTTCAATGGTCAAATGTTGCAATTTGTTTTTAATGCTTTCCTCAGTGTTCAGCAAGGGCATCAGATGCAAATGTGTCTGTGAAGTGAGAAACCATAATCCATATCCCGACTAGGATGGGGGGAGAAGATGTTTGCATGTTTCTAAAAGGAGGATTTGTCATTATCAGACACTTGCAATTTACTAAAATTTGAACATGACAGGATTTTGGACATAAAATTGTATTTTCTTTCTTTATCTTAATCCTGCACCTAATTCAGAAGTTCTCTCCATCCCCCTGTCCCAGTGAAGTCAGCAGCAGTGCTGGGTATGTGAAGATACTAAATTGGGTTCAGGAGGAACCAAAACAAAACCCTCACACCTAATTTGTACCTTCACACATTCTTCAGCATGTCTGCTGCTCAGTTCCATTGTCACTAAATACATATAACATGCTTTGGTGATTAGCAACACTGCAGTTGACAAAAAAAAAAAAAAAAAGCTTATGCCTCTTGTTTTTCTCTCTGCTTTTTTGTAGGATGTTTAGGAGTTAAAAAGATCACCTGAAATGATCCACTCACTTGCTAATTTTGTTAATTTATAGTGTGTAATATTACATTTTTACATGGAGTATTTACCTACTTATAGTCCAGGTGGTCCTCACTGTCCAAATACTACATGAGCAGAAAAAGAATAAGGCTCAGTCTTTTCTCTCTGTCTCCTGTCTTGTGACTCCAAAGTTTTAGTTGCTAAACTCTGTTCCACTTGAACATTTACACCACATGACATTTACCCAATTCTTACTATTTCCACGGGAAATAAAACATTGTATTGAAAGAAGAATAAATAATTCAATTCAATGGCTTCTGAAAACAGGAGTAAATACAGAAAAGGGAATAATTTTTACATCAGGAAAACAACTTTGATTTGCTAAACTTGCAAACTGTTCAATAAGCAAATCTTCAGCTTTCTTTAGGCATCAGGTACTAAAGCTTAGGGAAATCACCCAGGCTGCTGTCTAGAAAGCTCAGCAGGTGATATTCTCTCACTTTGCAGCTGATGCAGCTCAATGCAATGCACACATTGCTACCCAAAGCCTCATAAAACGCTGTTTCCTAGAAAAGCATTTGGCTTCTGAAGATTTATGTGTGGCTTAAAAACTCGTGGTGTAAACTGGCTTTGTAAGAGTAATTTTCAGCAAAACAATTTTTTTAGGTTTCTGCCATTAGCTTTCTGTCCAAATAATTTGATGGAAGCATGCACAGGCAGTAAATTACGAGGGATTCAGTGGCCAGACAAGTTAAATATACACATCTTCCAAGAAATCATGGAGCAAACATTGACTGAACAGTTAAATGATATCTAGTGGTGTTATGGCAGTGGATTCCAGCTCTGTGTTACCTTCCACTCAGGCTCAGGTTTAGTTGGAGAAATGCAACAAAACAAATATCATGCCACACAAGTAACAATGCCAATGCTGAATACAATTTTCAGACTAGTGGTGGTTGTGCTAAATCTGGCAAAGATTATTAAAGTCATGCAAGGTTTGAAGTTGTGCATGGAGAAGGTTTCAGAGAAATCTTTTCTGCCCATCTCTGCAGTGCAGAGGACAAACTACAGCTCTCCTTTTGTTTTTAATATGAAGAAGATGTGTGCAAAAATAGTGAATTTGGTAGGAGGAAAGCAAAACACAAGCACAAAATTAACAGCAAAATTTGTCAAAAGACAAATTAACTGTGATTTTTATCAACAGACATTCATTGCCAAAGCAACAACCCAGGAACCTTCCTGGTGCAAATGTAGGGGCTGATTCCATGGCCCAAAGAAGCAGCAGCACCTTGGTACCAGAAGTACCAAGATGAAGATGTGTCCTGGGTAATTTCTGGATGGAGCTGCTCTTTTTTTGTGTTCCAGCTAAAACAGAATCCAATCCACCATTTAATAACATACATTTTTCTATGAGGAACCAAAGTCACATTAATAGAGGGGAGAAATTCAGACTGATTTATGTTCTTTCTGCCGGTAAACAATACAGATTTTTAGCTGAGACTGTACCTACTTGAAAAGTGATAATTCTGTTTCTCTTGTTTGTATTTTACAGAGTTGAAGACATGAGGATTTTTTTTTATGTAGTTAAATCACTACAAGGAGTTTTCAAGCCTGAAACTTCCAGATGACCTTAATTTACCTGTCAGATAAAAATGTCAAATGACAGACAAGAATAACTGGAAAATGTGAATTTGTTAAAAACTGACAGAGAGGCTGGTAAGGCAAAATGATAGAAATATTTGTACACAGACTTATCACATACAAGTAAAATGTTCCACAAAAAACTATTTAGGCATTGAGAAGACAGTAATCAGAGACTCTCAATATCTAGAATTTTTACAGCATTTCACCATTCTAAATTAAATTCTATGTGTCTCTCAACCTCTCTGCCCTTTTCTCATTTTTCCAGCTTTGTCTTATGGTGAAGTTGTAAATACTAAGAGCATTATTTGTTTCTGTTGTGCATGCTCTTGAATATTTTTTGTCACTTCCTGGTTTTCCTTTCTTATTTTTTTCTGTGTATATTGGTCTATGACCCTGTGTTTCTCCTCAGAACTTCTGGACAAGACAGAAAAACACAGTTTAAAAACCAACTTTGTCAGGTTGTGAAGCCAAGCAAGTTCCTGCAACCTCATTTCATCCCTTTGTGTGTACATATGAGAGTGCTGCATTTAATCCCAGAAATACACAGCATTTTTTTTTCCCAGAATCTCATGTTGGACAATATGGCCAGCATTCCTATAGCTAAAATCAATATTTTTTCTGTCTCTGCACTGTCCAGGGCACTTGAACTTTATCATAAACCATAAGCAGAGCTCAGGGAGCTTAGCACCACTCTAACTGGGCTGACTGCTTAGTCTGGCTCTATTTTTCATTCTCTCTACCTGTCTGCTAAGTGAGTTCACTTGGAAAGAAAACACTTAAAAAATGAGTAGTTAAGACAAGAAAAAAGGGAGAATTTATGACTTATCCAAGATGTTTCAGTAGTATACTGCAATGTTTGGGTGGCATAACTCTTCAAGCACACTTCACCTGCTACTGAAGTGATTAGTCCAAGTGATTTTAAATCTGCAGCATGGATTATACATGCACCCAGTAGCTTAGATCCAGATAAACTCCTCACTGCCATTGCTCTCCATGCCTAACTCATGCTATATGCCTGAAATGATGCTTGAAGTTTCTAATTGCATTGTTCCAGCTTCCTTGCTCAACACCATGCCCAGAAATCCCCTCTGCATCCAGCCTGGTGTCAGTTCTGCCCCTACAATTCACTTTTTACATCCATGCCCCGTCTCATCTTCTCTCTACCTTCTTCATCCCAATGGATGGAGGAGGAGCTGCACCTTCCCTCCCCTCTGGGCTGAAGGGAAATACCCTGAGGCTTCCTCTTTTCCTCACTGGGCACACTGGAGGAAATGGTGCAGATGTTTTAGTCCCAGTGCAAGAGGCTGAAAACCAGAGAGAACCTTTCAGCTCTGCTCTTTCTTTCAGCAAATTTCTCCAAAACATTTTACAAGTTGGTGTATTTGGTATGAAAGAGCTGGAAGCCCTAATGACAGCTCACTTCTGCCTCTCAGCTACATCCCTTGGCTACTTCAATTTGACATCAATCAGGCATCAGACCCTCCAGCAGACTGGAAGATAAAAAAGTGACAGAAAGACAGCCAGACTGATAACAGTGAGCAGCTGTAAGACAGATAAGCGTGGACAGTGAGCACTGGAGCTCTAACAGACAGGAGCAGGCTGTCAGCGGGATTTACAAGGCATCGTAAACAACAGTGCTTAAGAACAACAAAGTCTCATTAGGGCAACCTTTACATTTTCACAAGTGCAAATGTATTTCCTGTGCAGTTCCTGTGACACAGTGAGCTGATGGGCTCCAGCCAAAGGCCAAATGAGAAGGCAAAGGTGAACTTAAAAGGGACTCTCAGTAGCATAAGAATGTAAAACTTTTTGGTGCCTATCCACTTGAAATACTTCTTCCAAGTGTTTTCCCCTAATCTCCACTTCCTGGCCGGTGGATACATGGAAAGCCTGTGCAGGCAGTTGGAGATCTGAATGAGGATGTTGCTCTTGTTTAGGAAATGCAGAGGAGAAGTGAAGTCTGGGTTTTCTGGAGACATGCAGTGGTGCAATCAGATTTGATTCCCAAAATCAACCATGAAGAAAAAATGGCTAAGAGTATTAAACACACCAAGGAAATAATTAAAGACTAAATGAGACATTCTTTGGTATCCAGAGCTGACTAATACTGAACGAACAGTAGGATTTGGCAGAGGTGGGGAGACATCTAACATGAAGTTTCTAAATATATGTGTCATCTGATTTGTTTTGTTTCAATAATTCACTATTATCAAAACATTAAAAATCATAAAAAACCCAAGAAAACTCAATTTTGCATTGGTAATACAATGGATTTTTCTAAAAATCCTTAGGATAGCTTCTCTGTCATGGCATGAACCAGGGCATGTGCTTAAACCTGCACTGGAATCAATGATTCAGGACCCTTTTCTTGAGCTTTGGAGTTCTGGAAAGAATGGAGACACATCTGGTGGCAAACCCGAAATAGCCTGATTTGATCATGAAAAGTTAAAGGTAGATTTTGTGGATGCAGAAAGAGGGAGAAGAATGTGAAAATTCAGCAGAATTTTCTGGCAATACACAAAAATCACCACCTGAGACTATGGTAAAGAAATTAAAGTTATTGATCCATCAAGACTGCAGTTTCAGCCAATTATTTTTTCACAGTCTTCAACTTTATAAAACACCTAATCAGGTATTCTATTAGCATTTCTGAAATGTATTGTTAATAATTTAAAGTATGCAAAGTCTGCATTGCTTTTGGATTAAAGATCATAATTCACATTTCACATTCACAAATTCACATTTATTACTCTGTTCAGCCCAAGCACAAGTATGTAGTGCATAAATGTACATGAATGCTACTTTGTCCCTTAGGTCCCTTCCAAAACAAGCCAACACTTCCACTTGCAGATTATTTTTTTCCTAATGATGAGAAGGCCAAGAAGGAAAATACCTTGATTTTAGAACAAGCCCTGCTTAGGCATGAAAACTGCCTAAAAGCTGTAAATTGTCCAATATTTTAAAAATTTCTCTTTGCAAAAGGACCTCTGAGGTAATGTAAATAAAAAGCTTCTCTAGGAAAAAAATAAAAAGAATCATTAATTAAAAAAAGAACCCAACAAAAAAGATATTCCAAAACCAGCTGGTTAGAAGAGAGGAGAAAAAAAAAAAACAGAGTGGTTATAGTCAGAGATTAAAGCATCTCTGCCCTAGGAAAAATGTTTTTTTAATTGTCAGAACACATTTCATTCTCTGTTAGGAAGAAGCAGAGTGTTTCTGTGGTGACTCAGATAGCTGGCAATTCTGACAGATAAAAGCAGGAGCTACAAGTGAGGTTTGTGCTCCAGTTTAAAGCCCCGGCAGTGGCAGCTGTGTGAGTGCTGGAGTGCATGAAAACCTGCCAGCTTTGCTACGAGTGCTTTGCCTGTAAGGTGCTGAAACAGAGACTGAATAAAATGGCAACAAGAAACAAAGTCACAAGTGGTGGTTGCTGTGCTTTGGAAAGGTTTCACATTTCCCAGGTGCAGTTCTGGGCTTTAAAAAGGGGAGAAATGCCTGTTAGCATCCACTCATCCATCCCTGCTTCCTTGAGGAGAATTTTTCTGACTATCCTAGGCAGCTCCATTTCCTAGCAAAAAGAAAACACAAATTTCACTCTTTTGGATGCTCCACTTGTTTGTCTTTGCAGCAGGGAGAAGAGTTCACAGCAGAGCTCCCCAGGCTGTGGCTGCCTCAGTCTGTGGGTCAGTAAGTGAGGGCGCTTCCCAAAAAGCACATCAGCATTCACAACTAACTGCTTCCACTACTACTGCAGATTTTCCCTTCTCTCTCCCTCATGCACCACCTTGAGCAATCCCACCAAAATGTTTTAGTGTTCCTGGTGAGGATCTATCTATTTTACCCTTTATAACTGAAGTGACCCAGGTAGTGTTTCACCCAGGACACTGTCCTGCCAAAATACAATGTGTTTTAGGACATTGACATACACACCTCAGAGCTGATGAATTATTAATTTTCTATAATTAGGCTATTAAAGAAAAAACTTAATTTTTGACTGTTTGCTTTAGTACCATCTATTAACAAATTCTGTCAACATTCAAGCAGGGTAAATGGAATAACCTTGGATGTTTACCTGCAACTGGTCTGGGAATTCTTCTCCACTGTAACATGTCCAATTGGCAGGGAGCTGTTACAATCTAAGGTTGATTAAAGAGGATTTCTATCAAACACAGGACTCAAAATATTTTTCGTTATTTTCATGAGACTGCTGGTTGATAAATTCTCTTTTCATAACACAGACTTTTAAATCACTCTATTTTTCCCAGCCTTCTCATGAAAATGCTACTTTTGAGTTAATTCAAATATAATTCAAAGTCCACAAAAAAGTAATTGCTAAAGTGGAATTTTCACCAAGTGACTTGTTTCTAGCGAGGAGGGTTGGAAAGAGTTGCAATAGACTGCCTTGGCCTAATATTATTTGCTTTCTTTCAGAAAAATTGAGAAAAATGTATATTAAAAAAATGAGAAAATTTTCAGCTGAGCTGCCCACTGCCAGAACAGCAAATGATGAAGAGAGATTCCTACACAGCTGGAGTAGGACTGGTCTGTAAGACAGACGCAGGCCAGCAAGGGCAAATTAATATTTATGGGTAGTGACAGAACCAAGCAGCCCAAACCTCAACACAACTCTCCCAAATCTCTCTGTGTAAATGTTACTCAGTATCTTGAAATACTGACAAAACCATGGCTGTATTCTATTTATTCAGCTGTGTGAAACCATGCACTAGTTTAAGCAGCAAGAGGTTAGACACGGAAGTAAAAGAAACCAGAATTATTGAGAGATAAACTGTGTTTGGTCTGTTCATGGCATCATAAACAGATTTATTTTTCTAGTTTATTTCAGTATCAGGTTCAGCTTTGATGTTATACTCAAAAAGGAGGTTAAAATTAAGCTTACCATGCAGCCAGCTGCATCAGTGCACTGAGAAGGAGAGATGGGGCCAGGATGGAGTAAAGGGAATGTCACTCCCAGGAGATTCCCTCAATACCAATGAGGGAAATGTCACTGGAGCCACAGTCTTCCTGATTTAGATGGGCAAGTGACATTTTCACAATGTGAATCCTCACAGAGGTTTAAATACTATTTTCTTTTTACATGAATTAAGCCTTGTATTTATTGCACCAGAAGATACAGACAAGATCTACTGAAATTCTTGAAAGCACCCAAGTGCTCAACTCCTATTCAAACCAATTGGCTTAAGTACCCAGCAAATTTTAAAAAGTCCAATTAGGCATTAAGCACTTGGAAATCTATCCCTGATTGATTTTTGAAATAGAAGTTAAGAAGCAATAAAAATGGAACACAAATCCCTGGGTGCTCTTAGAAGCACTTATATAGTTCTGAGTCTGTACATTAGCTTAAACAACTTGAATTCTAAAACACTAATGAAAAACATGGTATACATAATTGGCTAATTAAAGTAATTTAATTAATGAGTGTTTTAATGTTTTAATCTACTACAGTAATTTCCTCTCAAATACATGTAAATACCTTTTTCTATGTTTCTTTGAACATGAAAGGCAACACATGACATATAAAATTGTTCAGAGCATGAACATCACACATGAAGCCTTTTTGCATATTTTGTAGGAACAGGAAGGTTTCTTGCTTCTTAGTGCCAAATTTAGTAGGTTTACTGGTTGGTGGAAATGCATATACAAGTTTCCAGTTTTTTTTGTGGAGTCTGGGAGCACTGACAACTGCAGGGTGAAGAGTCCCTCACTGGGAGCTTGTGTGAAGCTGCTGGACTTAGGGAAAGCCTGGCTGAGGGTATTTCTAGATGTCAAGAAGCAAGGCTTCTGCAAGGAAAGAAAGGATCAGAGAACTCTAGAGCATCTTAGCTTGGAGGGACCCACAAAGAAATTTTATGGAAGAGAACATTTCTATGTGTTGTTGTAAATCCAGAACTGTCAGTCTGAGGCTTCTTTTTTATCACATAGCACTGGTCATTTTGTGATAAACAAATGGTATGGGTTCAGCCATTCAAACTCCCCATGTCTCATTGGTTTAGAATTAGATGCTACTTCTGTTGTATTTATTTTTTTTTCCCTTCAGTGAAACTTACTTTCATCTCCAGTTTCAAATTCAAACTTCTGGCTATAGCCGCTGTATCCTGCTGCCGTCCTGACTCTGATATGAAATATGTACTTGGTGGCTGGCTTGAGACCTGTGATGATAACACTTGGAGCCTTGGACCTTGTGGAGGAATAGCTGAGCTGCTCATGCTCCTGAGGGACAAAAGAGGGAAGAAATGATATCAAGTTCAGTTGAACAATCTTTGCAAAAATGATATAACAGAACTGAAGCTCCATATTCTTCTCATGAATGCAAAATGTGTTTATAAAAAGGAGGTGCAGGTATGGATTTCTGTACTTTGGTTCTGTGCTATAGTCAGAATGTATGATATGGCCTTGACTTTTAGATTTCAGGATTTTTTGTCTTTAACCCTGCATACAGACATGTTTTTGTGACTTGGGTTAGCAACCAACCCAACCATAGTCAAACCAGCATGAATTACTACAAGACTACATTCACAGAAGAATGGAACTAGAATGGAAGCTCATTATTTTTGCACAATGGACAAACTAGGAGGTCAGGAAACACTACCAAGCTGCAAAATAAAGATGTGGGAGTATTCAAATACCCGCTACTCACTTCTACCCGCAGGTAGTGCCAAAATGCCGGCGCTATCCGTGGGTAGACCTGTGGGTAAAAGAAAATAGGAATTAACTTTTTCTTTAAAGCCTGTCAACTTTGAGCATGGTTCAACTGCTTCACTGCTGCTGAGCTCAATGTCTCTTTCCAGGTAGCTGTAATGTAGTCATACATGAAATTC